GTGGAGAGGTTGGTCAGAAAAAATCCTCTTCATGTGGGAAATTATTGCGGCAAACTGTGAGAGACACTCGTCTCAAGGAAGGGAATCAGTAAACCTAGCTGAAAGGGATCTGAAAAACCTTTCTGGGAAGTGGGAGATGTGTGGGGAAGGTTCTGCAGTGTTAGGGGCCTGAGCGAACTCTTGTGCCTCCTTGAATGAGTGAAGGTTAATTCCTGTGTGGTCTTAAAATCTGTTCTCAGGGAGGGCCCTGACGTAATAGCCTGTGGCTGGGAGAGGCACAGAGCAGGCAAGTTGTCTGTTCATGTCCCAGCATTGCTGAGGGATGGCACAGAGGAGGTGCCTGTTTATGAAGGTGATGGTCCTGAGAAAATTGAGAGAAAAGTCAGGAACTTAACTGCCTGGCAGTGACACGTCAACCCCAGCGGGGACTGTCTTGCCTGGCCTGGCAGAAGCTGTGCTCTGGTGCTTGCCCTGAGTTGCAGCAGCGGGACCAGGCAGGAGATGGAGGCAGCTGAGCTGTCAGAAACATAACATCAAGCTTTAAAAGCAAGGCTCCTACAGCTGAGCGGGTCCTTGCAGGCAGGTCCTGGCTTCCAGGCAAGATGTGAGTTGCAATAAAAATAATGAGGAAGCTTCCTTCAGCCATCTAGGACTCCAGAGCATCTGTGCCTTACGTGCTGCTCCCTTGGCAGGGAACATTTCCTCCTTGCCAGAGATTCCTCTTCCCCCCTTGCCCAGGAACACACACAGAAACAAAGCCAAAATAAATAACTGTCCATTGCATCTGGATTGATTTCCTGGTATTCTTTCAACAACGTGGGGCAAATTAAATTTTTTAAATGTAGAAATGACTGATTTTATTTCAGGAGGAATAGCAGCAAGGACCTGAGGATCATAAATTCAAGTCCTCAGTTCCTGACCCTGCTGTGTAATTAATTTCATAAACTGTTCAACTCTGGCTTAAAACCATTCAGGTTTCTCAAGCTGTTGCTCTACCTGGCAGGCTGGTTCAGGGTCTCACTTTTTCTGTGATTGAAAACATCTTAATTCCAGCCCAAATGTATTTGTAGTCACCATATTCCCATCTTATCAATCATTGGTCTTAGGTTGATGTAGTTTTCTTTCCCATTTTATTTTTCTCACTGATTCTTTTGTGGAAGTCATATCTGTGTAAGCCCTTGGTCTCTTAAATTAAGCAAGTCTCTTCTCGTGACACAGACTCTCAGTTCCTCTAAGTAACCTCTCTTCACCGAAGCCTCTCTGAATGAGCCACTCCTGAGCACTGGTGATTGTGATTGCAGATAGTATTCTAGATGAAATCTTGACAGTGCTTTCCACAGTAACATTAATATTTTATGTTCCTTAAACTCTTATATTCCATGAACAGATTTTGGTTTCAGAGTGTCTCACTACTTCTTCTGTTTATGCCTTGAGAAATTTTATCCTTAGGTTAGGACTGGTGAAGTACTATTTCCCTACTCTAAGCTGACATTTTTCCAAGAAACTTAAGAAGCTTCTATCAAACATGGGTTTCATTTATTTTTTCCCCTAAAGAAAATAGCTTTTTAAGGAAAAAAAACTCAAAAGGAGCACTTCATTCTTAAGAAAACTTCAATCTTCTGTTCAAATAATAGATGTAACAAAAAATTTAATGGCACTGAGATGCTTCAGTTGAGTAGACAGTAAATAGAACACCAAAGAAAGGGGAAAATAAATGTTCTCAAATAATGATTGAAGAATATATAATCAGGAACGGTGAGTTTTAGAGACTGTTTTTGCAGACTGTAACAGCTTGATACTTACATAAGATGCACTGAATCCTTGCAAAACATTTTTTTTAGCATAGTCCAGCAAGCAGGCAGAATACACGCGTGGTGGATAGATATTCTAGATTTAATTGGCAAGTGCTTGTTGTTGATGTGGGTCTGTTGAGGATATTAGAATCGTGACCAAGGGAAGATAACCTTCTGCGATTTCCAGGAGGAAAAATTAGGTTGATGTGTAGAAATAGCCTTTCATAAAGCTCCTGGTTTTTTTCTGCTTCACTTCCAACATTTACATGTCCTTTGGAAGCCTTTTTCAGGGAGCAAATCATGGAATTTCAAGTTAAATTTATAGAGACTCAACTATTCTTGCATTCTTTAAAAGAATTTATACTAAATCCTTCTGGCATGTACTGTCACTGTGGAGAGTATTATAGATCATAATGTAAAAATTGCCTTCGAACTAAGGTGCCATTAATTCATGCTTCAAAGATTGTAATTTATAAGAAACAAGTCTTGATTATTACCCTGTGCCGTGTTTGGTTAAGCACTCCTGAAAAATGGACAACCAGGGTACTACTGAAGAAGCAGCAGCTTATAAACTGCAAGATCACTGGTCATCGGAGCTTTGCAGTAAATTTGACTATAAGCATATTTCACCTCCTTCTTTGACAGAAACTAGTTTTGTCTTTCCTTTTTCAGATATTCCATGGGTACCTAAAGCTTGTAAGATCCTCTCAGTGCTGGTTTTATAGCGCCATGGCCGCGCAAACAGTGTCTCTGTTATGCCGGTGGTTCAGCTTTATGGCTGTCATCTCTTAGGAACTTTATAATAGCTGCAAACAACAAAGCAACAAAAGTCTCAACTAAGTTTAACTGAGTTCTTCATCACGATGCAAAGATTATTCTGTTGCATAGAAATCTGAGTGCTGATGGGAGTTGCTTCTCATTGTCATCGGAATTTGAAGATAAGATGACATATTGAATTTAGGAATTCATCATTTTTCTGATCTGGTTTAACTGATGATGCTAATATGCAACTGGGGTATATTTTCATTAATCTCTTAGGTCTGAATTGAAAAACTGTGATTTTAGTGGTAGTTTATTCTTTCTCCCATTTTTGCTTGTTTATTAGTTTGTAAGAAAATTATGGAGGACTAGAGTTGGAACTCTATATGCATATATAAACAATAATTAAGAATCCTATTACATTGTTAATTTGAAAATTAAATGATGGGCGTGTTAAAAAATGGAATCTTTCAGTGAGGACTGCACAGGAATTTATGTTATGGATCACAATGATTTGTTCTTTTGTGTAAAAGGCATCTGATTAAGGTCAGCCTATGAGCAGAAATGGTTCAAATCTGCAACTGAAAAACTGCACCACTGTCTGCACTAAAGATTAGAGCTGGCTTGTTTTTATTCGCATTTGGTCAACAGATGGTCCAACTATTCAGTGGGCATTCTGGCAATGTAGAAGTCTGCACATCAATGACAAAAAAACATCATACGAATAAGTAAAATGTCAGTGTTCATCTGAGTAGAATGAACACCCAGTGTCGGCTTCTCAAAAAGTGGTGTAGCTGCCTGACTTGAAAGCACAAAACCTGGCAAAATGTCATATTATTGCTAAATTAGCCAATACCATTCATTCTGATAGGACTGAAAGTACAGAAAGACTATGAGGCTTATATAAAAGATAATGTTATTGGCCTTTGGCCAAGAGAGTTAGCTAATATTTGCTGCCTCACTGGATTGTTACCTTAGAAATAATAATAATAAAAAAAATGATATGCTGTGAATAATTCTTCTGCACAATTGCATTTGCGAAGAATGGTACACAAAAGTCATGTTTCCCTAAACACAGTAGAAATAAACAACAAGAGGCAATTTCTGGTCTGACATGCCTAGAAATACTGTCTCTCTTTTCAAGGTCACAGTTTTAATATCCAACATATCTGGCAATATGGCTTCAGATATTCTTCCCTCTCTTTCCTGCTTTCGTGTCACCCACACACCTGTGCCACAGCAGTTTTCACTTCTCCTGCCCCTGCTCCAGCTGGGCTGTTTTTCCAGCTGTGTGAAGGGATGGCGACAGCTTAAAAGGAAAAGAATAGAAAAAATGAAAAATTGTTGCACCTGCGCAGCTGAAGAAGTGGCTGTACAAGGATGAGAATTTGAGTGAGGAGATGGGGAGTGGGGACAAGCATGAGGACCTTTGGCTGGAATCGGCACTCCACGTTTTTTTGTGGTGAAACCCAGCGTCTTTGTTTGTTGTATCCAGCACTGCTTCTCTGGCTTTTGATCCCTTTCCTCCTCTTTGCCCATGGTCACAGAGCTGAAACCAGCGACAGTCTCGGACCGTTTATTTGTGGTCAGCCTCAGTGACATCTCCTAAACCCATGGGAGTTAATTTCTGATCCATTTTGAATAGGACCAGTGTTTCCTAGGTGGCTGTGGTTATTTCCAGCAGTCCTGTTGTGCAGTGGAGCAGAACCTTTCATTCTGTTCGGCCTCTGTTCAGGAGAGTTGGTTTTATGACCAGCTTTAACGTGCTTGGTGAATGCATGTATATCAAAGACTGCTTTTGATGGTGTCTGTTAAAAAAACCTTCTAAAATGGAGATGCAAACCTTACTTCTTCCATTGATGGAAGTGAAGTTGATTACGTTTTCATGAGACAGTACTACCGGACTGTAGTATACACGTGCTTTTTACATCCCTTTGAAAGGGCAGAGAAGGCTGAATGTTTTCAACAGCTGTGCTTCTATAAACAAATGTACTGGCACACACTGCTGCACCTATGGCATACAGGGTGCATACTAGTAATATACTAAATTGCACCAACCTGACCTATGGCCAGAAATGCAGCAGGTTGGGTTTTTTTAAATCTGAATGATTTTGTTCATTTATGACAGTAATTTTATCATAGTGTTTGATTACATTATTGACAAGGTGATGTTTTTTGCACATATTTGTTTCTCATTTTTGTGACTGAGCTCCAGTAGGATTTTAACAATACAACTAATTACTGTGCATATTCAAGAGATAAAAGGATGCCCCTAATGTGTTATTCATAACATGGAGTACGAGAACATTATAAGGCCAAGATTGTCTTTAAATATTAATTTCATGGTAGCCATGGATGCATCAGGCACTTGTATAGAACAAAAACACTGAATGCAACTCAAATGTTTTTCCATACAGTTGACTTTTATAAATATTTTTATTCTTTAGAATGGAGGAGACAGTGAAAAATCTGCTACAGAGCCAAGGATCCCCAGGCCAGCATGGAGAAGGGACTGACAATATCATGAAGGTATATCAGATATTAGTGACTTAACTGCGTGTTTTCCTGGGATAGAAAAGTTCTTTTAAAACAAAAATTGTGCTACTGAGATAAATGTGTCTGGTATTGTTTCTTCTATTTGTGTATTAGTTATGAATAGTTGTAAGATGATTGGTATTATGTTCATTTTCCCAGGTGTTCTTTCGCCAGATTTTAAGGCTTTTCATGTCTATTGTCACTGTGTTATCTGCATTTGTTGCTTCTCACAGTTAACAGGGGACAGAGGAAGTAGTTTTGAAGTCTTTATTAAAGCAATTAATATTTTAAGTAATATATTCTAACATCTGTAGAAAACATGGATGCTTTTGACAGCTTGACCTTCAGATTGTGATGGATAATTTTATCTACTCATATTCTTATTGTGAGTGAGGCTTCCATATCAAGCTCCATAGTTTCTTATCATTGCTTGTGGCAGATGCATTTTATCAGCCTCACTTGAGGTAAAGTGTCTCACGGCAGAATTTAGGAGAGCAAAGATTTTAGAGTTTTTTCAAATGGAACCGGATCTGTTTATGCTGTTTATATGGAAGGAGACTTTTACATTTTCCTGATGTACTGTTGTATTCTGGAAGCAGTGAACGTGAGGTGGTGGAAAGACTTTTTTAAGTGTCTGGAAACAGGACTTAGCTACATGCCAATTAATCAGATATTCTAGACATGAATTCTTAAAAAAACTCACTTAATGAAGTCTGTTCTATCTTGAATTTTTAAAACAGAATAAGCATTCCTTATAAAGACATAAAATGTTGAAATAATGCATTAAACTCTCTATTAAGTATCTATCCTTCAGATAAAACACTTTTCAAAAATTCTAGTTATATTAGCCTATTCTTACAACTGATGGATCAAAAATACAGCAATATAACTAAACAAAAATGTATATTAAAGAGTATTTATGACTGTAATTAATTTTTCATTTGAAGTTTGGACTGAAGGGAAAAGGATCTTTTAGATTAACTTTCCAAAATAATAATTTTTTCCTGTTAAAATGATAGCTTGTAAAATTTAATTTCAGGATGAATTAAACATTTTGTTGAAGCTATAATAGAACATTGTGCTTTTAGAAGCTGATGATAACAGCATCTACATTTAACTCGCTACCCTTTTGGGATGCCAGAATGAAACACGGTTCCCTCCTTTTGGTTCAGAGTTTAAATCCCTACTTCCTGCTCATGCCTGCCACCATACAGTGGGTGTTCAGAAGGAGGCTTGCTGTCAGTCTCTCCTTCGGGCAGATTACGCCTCTGCCTGTTTGTAACAGACAGCTGGAATAATTTTATCTGCTTTTCCATTTGCTGTTTTGCCATGGAAACCACGGTAAGGTGGTATCACGTTTAGGTTTTAGCTTCTTTGGGTTTTGTTCTTGCACTCACAACAAGAAAGGCAGAAAAGTAGTTCAATTACTTTCAATCAAACTGAGAGTTTGGGTGTTCTTTGTTTTTCTTTTTAGCATCAAACTGGGAAAAAATTATCTATGTGGCCTACTGAAACTTGAGATTTTGTGTGTTGCTTTCCTAGAGGAGAGATACATTAGTCATTCCAATTTCAGTGCTTTTATATTTCCTCCATCTTTTATTCCTTTCTTAATTTTTGAGAATAGAGGTGGTTTGGTTATAGTTTTGGTTTTTTCTCCTTTGGGGCCATACTGACATAGACATTTGTTGTCTTTTGCCAGCCAGGAGAATGGGTACTGGAGTGTGTTTAGTGTAAAATCTCTTGGGTTTATTTTCTGACCAACAAAAGAACAAGGCAGTTCTACCCGGTTATTGATAACAAGAACAATTCTTTCTTTTCCTTCAGCTCTAGCAACCAGCCCCCTCCACCTAGCAACTTTCTGTCTAACCCCTTCTTCCTGAACATGGGGTTTTATTTGAATGTTCTCGGTGGTAACCAGGGTGCATTCCCCAAACCTGAGCCTAGTTGTCTTGCAGAGTGAAGCCATTTCTGTCCCCAGATATTAAAGCACCCATATACCTGTTACGCTTGAATTATTTTAAAACTTGTACCCCACATTGCATAGCAGCTTCCTTCTCTTCCTGTTTTCTTCTTGTTCTTGAGAATATTTTCATTCATGATATCAAAGTCAGCTTGGTTTTATGCAATTTTTATTTCTACCATATTGCTAGTATGCAGTTTTCTTTGCTTATGAATTTATTGACTCAGAAGCAATGTTTTTTTCTTTCCTGGAAGAATAACTACGCTACTGCATCGTATACTGGTCTGTAATTGGCAAAACAGGTTAAAAATATGGAACATCTCCATAAGTGTTGTGTTCTTTCTGAATGTCTCTGTGACTTACTCATCCTCACATCCCTTTTGATCACTTTGATGACAAACTTCTGAGCAAATAGTTTGTTTTCTGGGAGTATCAAGGAATTCTTCTATTCACATGCAAAACAGCATGTTCCTGCCCTCGTATAGGTTCACGTGATGTGCGTTTGTGACTTGGTTGTTGAACAAAAGCTGTGCAGTGTGATTTAGGCAACAACCACATGTAATAATAAAAGCTAATACTTGAAAGGCTCTTCAAAACAAATAGATGAAACGGAAATGTTTACAAACTATTTGAACATTGAAAAACATATTAATAAAGCATTATAGGAATCAATAATAGGGAAACCAACTGTGTGGAAATCAGAGACAAACATTTAGTCTAAATATGTGATAATCTATTATTGCAAATACTGTGTCCAGGTTTGGCAAATGGCATCAATATTGCAGTAGAAGCATTTCATTTGTATCTTTCCAAATGAATTCAGACAGTTCTTTGATGTATTTATAACATAATTCACAAATGAGAATAGAACATGAATGTACAACGTAGGTAATGTTTCTCAAAAACACTGATATATTCAGGTTTTGGCTAACATGATAATCACATTATCATCCTGTACTTACAAATGAAGTAACATGTAAAAAAAAAGATTTTTATCATCTGAATTCCAAGTGATATATATATATATATATCTTTGTCTGCATACACAAAACTTGTTGAATGTATAAATACTAACATTGTTCTGAAAGCTGTCTTCTACAATCAATTACCTTATAGAACATATTGTGAATCATACCTGTTCTCTGTGACTATCATGATAGGATCAGAACAATATGACCAGTACTCAGTGCAATAGAGTATCAGGTTTTATTGCAGTTTCACAACCATATATTTCATAACTAATGAGACCATGATCGAGGAGATCTCCAGTGTGACTTTTCAGCATGTCTCATACTCCGTAACGCTGTGGTAGGTTAGTTTTAGGTTTCAAATTAATTAACATTAAATGTTGCATTATAGCAATATTATGTTAGGTTTTTCCAGGATTCTTACTTGAAGCAAAATATTCTAACGCTTTCGATAGAACTAGCTTGCCCTATAGGGATTTGCTGGACTTAGAGATGAATTTCTTTAGACTAAGTGAATTTACAAGCAGGATTTTAAATAAAATTCTCTTCTTTTACAATTTAATATAATAATAACTGAGGGAAGATTTATAATGAATGCTCACATAAACGTAGACAAGAATATGTGTCATTTCAGTTGCTGTGATCCATTGTGTTTCTTGCTTAAAAGTTGACTTGACTAAAAGGCTCTAGTATGCAAGAGCTTTATGATGCTTCCAAGAGGCACTGTCTCTTGGCCAAACCAATACCTCATATGCTAATATTATTCTCATTCAAGACACAGGTACTTTTTTTAGGAAGGAGAGTGATCCTCAGAAATAATTCTGTATAGTACTTGAACCTGAGACGTTAAAACAAGCCCCCCACAGAGTTCCGTTCCTAAGTTTGTCCTTGTGATTTGGATATCAAAACCTAGAGTGTCTTTCCTGTTCTGTCACAATGCTGGGTAGCTGAAGAGAGTCTTAGCTGATTACAGATCACTCCAAGACTGTCAAGGGGGTTTTTTTAACTCCTTTCGACTTTCTGTCCATGTACAGTGATTGAAATAGATGAGGAGGAGAGTTTGTTTTAAGCTCACAATTTGTTATAATTCTGGAATTGTCAATATATGCACTAAAGCCCAGGACAGATATGGTGCAGTCACATCAGAGAGGAAGGATGATCTGCTGTTTAAAGCATTGTGCTTGGGAGACTGGATTTTGATTCTTTCATTTGCTGCATTTTTTTCCATTTCCTTGGAGAAATTCACTTTATCTTTCCATCTTTGACCTTTGTCTGTAAAAAGAGGATAACAACCTATCATTTAATATCAAGTATTTAAGATGTCATCATATATATGAACTGCTGCTTTTGTGGTAACAGAGACCATTTTAAGTACTGAGCCAGATAATAAAGATATAGAAAAAAAAAATAAAAGGCTTTTCATATTACCTTGTAAACCTGGAAGAAGACTTACTTCCCCTAAGGAGTTTGACACACATACTTTTAATAGAAAAGGAAACAGTTTAAAAGTTGTGCTTCGATGGTCTTCAAGCAGGGCTATCCTGTCTTGTATTAAAAAAAAGTGGAAGTGAGGTTGTGCTGTTGGGAATTTGGGGAATTTTGATACATGGATTCCTGTGAAAAACTCAGGGAAGTAAAAACTTGTGGCTGCAGGGGCTGTAACTTTTTCAGAACCCCTCTGTGCTTCTTTGAGATTTACACTCCAAACAAATACTGCTGTGGAGACCAGGCATATTGTTTTGTTCAGCAAGAACTGAACTCTTGGGTTGTAGAAAGCCTAAAGCCCACCCATCTAATGACACGGACCCTGTCATCCCGCAACTTCTGTGCAAGTGCAGAGTGTCCAGGACTGCTCTTGTTTACTGCCTGACATGGTCCAGTCTACTTCTCAGCAGAAGGGATTTTCATCACACTGGACAGTGCAGGTCTTCAGAGACTTACTCTACAAATTCAAGAGAGGAAAGATCTGAGTGACTAGGTAGGAAGTTTGTCAAGGAGAAGAATCCCTGGGCTGAGATCAGTGCTGTGGAGTCCATACCAAGAGGAATCTGGCTCAAAAACTCCATGGGAATTACAGGTTG